AAAAACATTTGAATCTGCTAACAAATGTGGGAAATTGCTGGTCTGGCAAATGAAAAAAAGACAAAAATTAAACACTATCACAAATTTAGAAGTGGAAGGAAAGAACATACGCAACCCAACTGAGATTAGAAACTGTTTCCAGAGGTATTTTAAACAACTATATACACAAGGGCCACAGAAAGAAATGGACATAGACTGATTTCTGAAGACAAATGGATTACAAAAAATCTCCCAAGAAAGTAAACTAATGTTGAACTATAAAATATCTGAACAGGAAGTAGAAGGTGCCATTCAAAATATGCAATTAGGCAAATCTCCAGGACCGGATGGGCTGACTTCTAGATATTATAGATCTTTGAAAGAGTGGTTATTACAACCTTTAAAGGAAGTCTGCAATGAAATATTGGAAGGGAAAAGGGCACCAGAGTCATGGAAAGAGGCGTACATTACACTTATACCGAAGACAGAGACTGAAAAGACTCAGCTTAAGAACTACCGTCCCATATCGTTACTTAATGTGGATTACAAAATTTTTGCAGACATTCTGGCCAAGAGATTGAAAAAAGTATTGATGGAAGAGATTCATAAAGACCAAGCGGGCTTTCTCCCGGGAAGACACTTGTCCGATAATTTGAAGAATATAATTGATATTTTGGAAAAACTAGAAGTGAACATAAATACTAAAGCAGTTTTGATATTTGTGGACGCGGAGAAAGCTTTGATAATATCTCTTGGAGTTTTATGAAGAAGAACCTACAGGGGATGGGGGTAGGCCAAGGTTTTGAAAACGGTATAAGTGCAATTTATTCAGAACAAAAGGCTAAACTAATAGTAAATAATGTGGTGACGGAAGAATTTAGGATAGAAAAAGGGACAAGACAAGGTTGCCCAATTTCCCCATTGCTTTTATATCGGTCCTGGAGGTTCTGCTGAATATGATTAGAAGGGACCGGTTGGTTAAAGGTATACAGGTCGGAGCCAAACAGTACAAATTGAGAGCATTTGCAGATGACTTAGTATTGACGTTACAGGAGCCAGAATCTAGTACTAAAAGAGTTTTAGAACTGATTCAAGAATTTGGTCAAGTTGCAGGATTTAAATTGAATAAGTTAAAGACCAAGGTTTTAGAGAAAATTTAACACCAATGGAGAGAGAGAGAGGTTTCAGAATGAGACAGGTTCAACAGTGGTTAAGAAAGTTAAATACTTGGGGATTAACATGACAGCAAAAAAATGGGAATTTATTTAAAGACAACTATGAAAAATGCTGGGCTGAAGTGAAAAAGATTTAGAAATTTGGTCAAATTTGAAGCTTTCACTGCTGGGCCGTATTGCTGCGGTAAAAATGAATGTATTGCCTAGAATGTTGTTTTTGTTTCAAACATTGCAAATTGTGGACAAAATGGACTGTTTCAAGAGGTGGCAGAGAGATATTTCTAGATTTGTCTGGCAGGGCAAGAAGCCTAGAATAAAATTTAAAATATTAACAGATGCAAAGGAAAGAGGTGGATTTGCCCTGCCAGACTTTAAACTTTACTATGAATCAGCAGCTTTTGCTGGTTGAAAGAATGGTTGCTTCTTGAAAACACTGACATTTTGGATCTAGAAGGTTTTAACAATGTATTTGGATGGCATGCATATCTGTGGTATGATAAGGTCAAAGCACATAAAGCATTTAAAAACCATATTGTCAGGAAAGCATTGTTTAATGTTTGGATAAGATACAAGGACTTATTGGAAAATAAAACCCCAAGGTGGTTGTCACCAATGGAAGCAAAAGCTCTGAAAAAGCTCAATATGGAGGCCAAATGGCCGAAATATTGGGAAATTTTGGAACAAGACGGAGATAGACTGAAATTGCAGAGTTTTGAGAAATTAAAAAACAAAGTGCGATACTGGCTTCACTATTATCAGATAATGGAGGCATATAATTTGGACAAGAAAATTGGTTTCCAGGTGGAAAAATCAAAATTAGAAACAGAACTGTTAGAACCCAAAACCAAGATTTTGTCAAAGATGTATAACTTGTTGTTGAAATGGAATACTCAGGATGAAACGGTGAAATCTGCTATGATTAAATGGGCACAAGATGTTGGACATAACATAATGATGGCTGACTGGGAACAGTTATGGACCACAGGTATGAAGTTTACGGCATGTAATGCCTTAAGAGAGAATATTATGAAAATGATATACAGGTGGTACATGACCCCAGTCAAGCTTGCAAAAATTTATCATTTGCCCGATAACAAATGCTGGAAATGTAAAGAAACTGAAGGCACATTCTTTCACCTTTGGTGGACGTGCCCAAGGATTAAGGCTTTCTGGGAGATGATATATAATGAATTGAAAAAGGTATTTAAATATACCTTCTTGAAGAAACCAGAGGCCTTTCTCCTAGGCATAGTCGGCCAATTGGTGCTAAAGAAGGACAGAACTTTTTTTATGTATGCCACAACAGCAGCAAGAATACTCATTGCAAAGTACTGGAAGACACAAGATCTACCCACTCTGGAAGAATGGCAGATGAAGCTGATGGACTATATGGAACTGGCAGAAATCACTGGCAGAATCCGAGACCAGGGAGAAGAGTCGGTGGAAGAAGATTGGAAGAAATTCAAAGACTATCTACAGAAATATTGTAAAATTAATGAATGTTAGAATGATGTTGGATAGAAATTAAGTGGTTTCCAGCTGTAATGCTTTAAGGGAATATGAAAAATGGGTTGTTAATAGGTAAAAATCTAACGTTACTATTTTAAGACCAAAGATTAGGATAAATAAAGAGGGTAAGGATTTGCTGAACCAACAAATTGAACTGGAATACAAAAAAGGGAGGTATGAGGAGGTCCGGGAAACAAGCTAAGGAAAAATAAGTAATGGAAAAATTGAGTGGTTTTTAATCATTTTTATTTTGTACTTTGTACTTTTTGTATTTTTCCTTTTTTTCTTCTTTTTTCTTCTTTTTCATTTTTATATTGTAACATTTGGAAAATCTCAATAAATATCTTATAAAAAAAAGAAAAGAAAACACAGGTAGAATTCTTGGGTTACAAAATACAGTGGTACCTCGGGTTAAGTACTTAATTCGTTCCGGAGGTCCGTTCTTAACCTGAAACTGTTCTTAACCTGAAGCACCACGTTAGCTAATGGGGCCTCCTGCTGCTGCCGCGCCGCCGGAGCATAATTTCTGTTCTTATCCTGAAGCAAAGTTCTTAACCTGAAGCACTATTCCTGGGTTAGTGGAGTCTGTCATAACCCGAGGTACCACTGTATAGTAACAAGTTTCTGAACACGTGATCTGAGCTTGGAACGATTGAGCTCAGACATCCTATCTGGTCGGGTTCACATGTTGGAAGAGAATGAACAATAGAATTTGACTTTCTTCCTTATTTTCTAAAAACTAAAAAGCCATACAATGAAAAATATTGCTATGCTTCAGAACACATGCAGTTTTTGCCTTAATAAACACATCATCTATTAGTCACAGTGTATGTGTCACATTCACGTCTATAAAATGGAAAAATACCTCTCCTCCACAGAATGTGACATTTATTAATGGCTCTGGGTCATTCAGTACTACAGTGATGTGAGTCACATAAATATTGCTTATATATGTCAAGTGTTGAATGTTGACTGTATATTGTCTGAGTCAAAATACCTTCTACAGCTAACATTTAGGGCAACTAATGTTGCTATTAGTGGATGTGTACTTGGGTTTACTTAATATGTCAAACAATGTATCATTATTATCATAATGTATCATTATTTTCATAATGAAAATTAATGGCACCTAGTCCTCCATAATAAACAAATGCTCAGCTCACTCCTGGTGAAGTCAAAACAACCCAAATAGATGTACTTTGGATTATTTGTATTATTATTATTTATAAAGGCAGCTTTATAAAAATGCTGATAATAGTAATGTTGGATTAAACACCTTTGCTAAGGAATGGCACTATAGTGATTAGAAAATCACACTATCATTTGTAGGAGAAATGTATCCCCATTTTTATGTAAAAATCTAGAGACGTGGCAAAATGCGTAGACTACTTTAGCCAAAGCATATTTTACAACATTAGGATTTCAGTCGCATCCACATCAATGAGCTCTTAATTACACATTCATTTCCCTTTACAGTTTATGTGGAAGCATATTAGAAGTGTGAAAATAAAAGCAGTAGCAAGTGGTTGTCATCCAAAAATGCAAATTCACTGAATAGGAAAGGAGAAAATGAAGATGGGGTGTGAGTTTCAAGTAATTTGAAAGCTTTCAATGATCTTTCAGAAATAATTGTTATATGAGTAGCTTAAAATCATGGTCTTTTTTAAAAAAAAAGATTTCAAGGAATATAACATAGCCTCTGTGAGCTAAAAATATGACATTCTTTTCAGATTTCTGGATAAAGTTTAAGAAGTGCTTGTGAGGAAAATGAAACTAATAAGTTCATAAAAATAAGGCATAAAAATAAGGGGAAATGGAACGTGATCAATTAAACCTCTAAATTGCAAACCTGTATACATTTAACTTCTGACTAAAGGATGCACTGGGAGTTTAAATTGCTGAAAGGGGGAATTAGGAGAGACCCATTAACATTTGGAGGAAGGTGTCCCATGGTCAAAATGACATGTATCTTTTCCGCAGAGCAGTAGGTATGTTGGCCTTCAAATGCAAACTGAATTGAATCCCCCCCCATCCTTAATCACTACATCTTTTGGTGGCAAATTCCATAGTTAACTATGTGCTGTACAAATAAATGGTTCCATTTATAGGTCCTGAAGCTTCCATTTTCAGCATCATTGGAAGACTGGGTTGTAGTGTTATATGTATCCACTTTTTCTACACTGCACATTTTGTGGGCCTTGGGATGCTGGGCTGTAGGCTGTAAAGAGAAGAAATAAGGCAACTGGCAACAAACACTTGTGGGAACTTTTTCTTTTGTATTGCTTTTGTGTGATCTGTTACTACCAGGAATTCTTATTACATGCAAAAGTTTCAAATGTAAGCTGAATAGGTTGAAATAACACTCATTTAAAGAATGGCAAAATAATCACATCCAATAGAGTTTTTCACACAGTGTAAAGATTATTCATAAATACGTTAATGGAACACTTTAAAAATTGTTTGCAGTGTTTGGAATTCAAAGGGCAAGTAAAATAGAACATTAGTCCAAGTGGTCAATGTCCATATTTTGAGCTGTTCATTTTCTTCTGATGTTCAGGAATTTCTGTGGTGCTGAATGTTTGTAACCTATGAAAAAAAGGGAGACATATTCAAAATGTTATATTTTTCACTGTGAATTCTCACCATTCTCACTTCAAAATTGCACTGGCTCCCTGGCATTTCCCTGCATATGCCTCAAAATCCCAATCTGAACATTCACATGTCCCTACTTTTCCTATATACTGGGGCAGGAGAGGGGATTGCTCTTGTGAGATTAAGAGTTTATTGATACAAGCTACTTTCATTCATTTATTTTACATAAAGACTACCTTTGCAAATTCAAATTCTAATGCCAGCCTTCATGGGGTAAAATGGGAAAAGAAGGAGAGAGGAGGGGAAAGAAAGAGAATGGAAAGAGGGGTAAATTTTTATAAATGTGACAGTCTCGATTTGCATCCAGATTTTGAAACTTCCAACCCTCACAGCCTTTCATAGTTTGGTAAAGACCCTCTTGTTTAGATAGGTTTTCCATTTAGATTAACCCATGCTCCTCCTGATTCACTCCCCCAACCTCCTTACAAAGGTCTTTACAGAGACTGCATGCTAGAGAATGAAGTCTGCCCTCTTCATTTATTTCCCCAGAACACTGGAAGGCCTGACTCAGGATGGGTTCAGTCCTTGAGACAGAAAGAAGGAACAAATGCCTTTGCAGACAGCTGTTCTCCTGGAGTGCTTATCAGTAGAGAGGGTGCCTTTGAACAAAAGTAGCCAAATCCCTACAACTGCCTGAGTGCTAGACTTGATGACCCATGAGATCCTTTCCAAATCTATAATTGTATAATTCTTACAGGCAGACTTCATTTAAAATCCATTCAAAATTCACAGCAAGTGAAAATGACTAATGGTTTTGATTTTGCAAAGTACTGAGCACTTTTTTTCTTTTAAGGATACAATTTTTAAAATAGCCTTAATCCAATGCACGTGAGTAGTGCATCTGATTTAAAAGAAAAAGTGCTTTCATGTACTAAAATGATTGAATCTGCTTAAGAAATGCTTAGCAGATTGTATGGGTGTACATATCACATGACAGCTTTAACATGCAATCATGCAGTTTACTATGAAGGTCAGTAACAGGCTATATAGATACTGTGCTCTGAAACATGTTACCCATTCATTTCATGTGAAAGGGCTTGGAAATGAGTTCTTACCTCTTTATAGAACATAAAGCTGAGAAGATGGAGCACATGCAGAAGGTACCAGTTTAAAACCCTGGCATATCCAGGTATGTCTGGAGCCTTTTCTGAAACCCTGGAGAGGCACTGCCACTCAGTATAGACAGTACTGAGCTGCATGCCATAGACCAACTCAGTCTAAGGCAGCTTCCTCTACTCCTCGTGTTCCTAAAGTTAACTCCAGATTTGGAGTTCTCTAGTTTAATTTATAATGAAGTAGTTGAACCGTTACACCTGCATAAATTATGTACCATTTCTTTAAAAAACGAACAACAAAAAGTTTGGGTTTGCAAAGAGGATTCATAAAAACATGCACAAAGGATGAATGTAATTACAAATAAATACTTTTCATAACTGCATTCAAATCATCCAAGTCCAGCTTGTAATACTGTTCTTCACTATCAGACGAAGCATATCTTCTACCATCTGTAAAAGAAAAAAGCAAGTCAAATTACCTTGAGTTCTATATATGGCTGCTTATGATCTTTGGGGTTGAATGCACATGTTCACATCTGACCAGCCATCTGATAAATAGGTTTTCTCACAGGTTTTCTCATAGTTTACAAAATACTTGGGCTTGAATAGATGGCGGAAATGACCAAAAACAGATGAACTGGAAAGTATTTTCCAGCCTGCTCAAATGTTTTAATAACCTTGAATGTAAAAGCCCTTCTACAAATACAAACAGAGCAATTAAAGTTGAATGAGGGAAAGTGAGATCAAAACAGCTGGAATTCTTGCCAATTCATCCACCATAAAAGACTTAAGGAGTCTCAGAAATCCATACAAGCATTGATCTATATAACTGCTCAGGCTGCATTGCTTGCGGGGATCTGAAGATTTTACAACAGTCTGCAATATTAGTATACTGTATTCACTGTTCCAGGTACACACACAATTATGACTGTAGTTTTTTTGGCTTAGCTTTTATGGTGATCATCCAGCCGCTCTGAACAAAATAAAAAGGGGCAAAAGAAAGCCATAGGATTTCAGACAGCTCCAGGTTTCCTTGATCCTGGACATAGGCATAGCCAGAATTTAATTGGGGGGGGGTAGGCTTTATGTTAGGGGGGCAGAACCGAGTTATCTGTGATGTAATCAGTTAAGTATTTTTATTTATTTACTTTATGGGGGGCAGTGCCCCCCTGCAACCCTCTGGCTATGAACATGATCCTGGACCAGTTTGTGCTGAGTTTCTCTCTTCCACTTCAGCCAAAGAGGTGCTGCTCTGTATCATTATAGTAGATACTTGATGCTGAGCTGGATCCAATCAAGGTCTAGGCAGCTGACCATTCTTTTCCTACCTGCAGTGAAACTTGATACCTCTGGTCATTTGCAAGCAGGACAGAGAAGGTAACAGCCTTCTCCTGTTTAATTTTCCTGGTATTGATCCTCTTTGCTAACTTGTGATTGACATGACACATTATTATTATTATTATTATTATTATTATTATTAATACCCCGCCGATCTGGCAGGGTTTCCCCAGCCACTTTAGGCAGCTTACAGCACATATAAAAACAGTAAAATGTCAACATAAAAAACTTCCCGATACATACAGGGCTGCCTTCAGATGTCTTCTCATGCCACATCCTGTTCTAATACTGCCCCTTTCACCCCTTTATTCTGAGATTTCTCAGATTATTTTTACAAGCCCGCTCACACGCATTGTTGGGTAGTGTTGGGGCCACGCCCCGGACCCACAAGTGATCTGCCAAATATTCTTCCTCATTGTGTTCTTGCCCTGTGGATATTGAAGTGAACCAGCGCCTGCTATTATTACTATTTCCAGTGGTAGTTACTTTGATTCTGCATATTTATTTTTAACCTCCACATTTGTCCTCAATTTGAAAGCCCTTTAACCAAACCCAAATCAGGTCCTCACTAAGCAAAAAGGCAAAAACAGCTGATGGGAAGGACATTTGGGGTAACAGGGTCATTGCTGTGGGTGGGTGGTGGGGAGAGATTCTCCACATTAATCTTTTGGTGGGGCACCATTACTTTCTCCCCCTTCCCATGCAAGTTAAAGGGAGAATGAGCTGGAATACACCGGACCCTCAAAAATGGGGGAAGGTGAAGACCCATTTTAAGTTTTGATTAGTTTTACTATGGGCAATATATAGTGGAATGCCTCTGTGAAACAGCTGAAGAAAAACAACACACAAGCAAATCATGCTACTCAGAGAATTCTTAGGAAAGGATAGCTCTGAGAAAAATGGCCGGAGTAAAATGATCACATTACATTTAGCCACGTCTTTCTCCCTGAGCCACATTGCTTCCACAGTACTCCACAGAAAGTCCTCAAAGTATAAAGTATAATGTTATGCACAGATCCTGCAAATACATATTAAGGAGATTGTGGAAATGTAGTTGCTACTTCAGGGTAACATCTTCATCTCGAAAAGCTCATACCTCCTCTATGACATCCTTCTATTAGCAAGTTCAGTTTTCAGATTGTTTGCAACGTCCTTGTTACATAACTATAGCTAAACAATTTTACAAAATTAGTTTTCAGGTTGCTTGTATGTCTCCATATTAATTCATTACATTTAAGCAAGTGCTAATTTTACATAGCCCCACTGGGAACCAGTTTATTGTTGCTTTTTAAAAAAATCAATCAGGAAGCTACTTAGAGCCTTTTAACTGGAATAAATCATTAGCTTTGTGGTGGTTGTGGTAGGCAGTTTTCCTCCTAAGTATTTCAAATTAATGCCCAACTAAGCTTTTTTTTATTTGAGATTTCACCCTGTAACAAACATTTTGAAATTCAATGTAGTATTAAAAACAGCCATTAAATGGTTTTTTAACTGAACCAAGCATTTTTATTTTCATTTTTTTGAAAATGAGACACCAAACTTACATCTTCCCTTGAGATACAGCATTGATTGTGGACCCCAGTTTCTTGCTATTGGATTACCCTGAAAAGAGAAAGTAGCCACAATTCACTGGAAACTTCTCATATACTGCTGCAGAGTTTGGAGGATATTTTAGCTAAAACCTTTACCTTTGGGGTGTGGGATGATTCAACTACGAAAAAGACCATCATGATGACAAAAGCACAAACTAATGCTGTTTTAACTTTCTGCAAGAAAAACAGTATATATTTTTCTTTGATTATTCAGAATAAAACCCACTGTAACAAATATTTAAAAGCATAAAAGAGACATAGTAAGTTGCTTACCATGCTGGCAGGTCTTTTGTCACTCGCTTCTATCACCAAAATGTGATCAAAGGTTTGGTTTGGCATTCTTACTTTTAAATAGCTGATGGTGATAAAATACGCAAGTTCAGCTGATCATAGATGTTTTGCTTGGGGTTGTTTTTCTCCCGCCCCTAAAAAAAAGCCTTTGTTTTCCAGGGAAGGGTTTACGCCAAGTTTGATATGTGGAAATTAGATATATAGTAATTTACCTTCCCCCAGAAGCAAAGCAGCAAATTAGTGTCAGAGACTTCTTGACAAAAGGGTAGCTAATGATAGTTGTTCCCGTGAGAGCCGGAAACAATCTGTACACACAGGGAACAAAATGCAAGACAAAAGGTGACTAAATGTCAAGCATTTCTACTTGGTACTTCACACATTTTCTCAGGCCTTCATTCATTTTTCTGCAATAATTAATATATGGTCGGAGGAAAGCTACTTTTTTTTGTTAATGGGCTTCCTCTTAGTGGAGTTTTCTTAGGCTCTCCATTCAGCAGTTGAAGATTATCATTAAATCATCAGTTTAGGAACATTTTGCTGTATTATATGTTTCTCTTATAAATAAGAGCTATCCTGAGGCACTTTTATAAGTCTTGACTCCTAGGCCCTCAGCTCTTAGGAGCCCAGGATGATCCATGACACTGAAAAACTGGTGAAACATATTCTAAACACGTTCATCAATATGATTAAACTAACACTAGCATGCATATAAATATTGTTTGGTAGTGGAATGTTATTGTTTATATTCTCTTGGTAGTCTAAGCCTTCTTTGGTTGAAACTCCAGATTTCACAATGCCTTGGTGCCTTTCACGACTTAAATATCAGTGTATCTCCCTAATGCAGCAACTAAGAGAGTTATTGCTATGGTGGCTCACAACCAGACCTGGAGGCGGGGCAATTCCACTGGCTGCTGGTCTGTTTCCAAGCACAATTCAAGTTGCTTGCCCTTGAAACCCTACATGCTTTTGGACCAAGGTAGCTGAAGGACTAGCTTCTTGCTGCGTACTTCCTTTGTCAATGGAAGCCCTTCTCCAGCTGTCTCCATCTGCAGAAGTTAGGTGGATGATGACAGGCAAGAGAGCCTTCTCATCTGCATTGCCCCTTCTGTGCAGTGATGGCAACACCTTGTTTCCTTTGTGCAGATTGAGCCTTGGTACCAATCTGAACATGCAGAGTGGTCCTCTGAGTGGTCCAGCACTGTGAACACTGTGAACACTTACTTGGAAAGTAAGCTTGGAAAGTCTAAGCCCTCCTTGGGAGAGGATGTCTATGAGAGTCCACATTCAGGTGTGTAGGAGGACGGGCAATTCTGAAGCAGCAGTGAAGAAGAAAATACATCACATTCACAAAGAAACCCCTTGAGGTCACCCGCCATTAGAGCATTGTCTGAATTACAGTATTACAGATAACCATGGATGACTCTGAATTACTCAGTAGCCTTACTTTGTAAAAATGCTCACCATGTACCACAATAAGTAGCATTGATGTTGCAAATCTTGTAATGCAATCTGTGCAGTTGCTGTACATGGTTTCTCAGATATGTGCCTAGATTTAAATAGTCAGTTACTGTCTTATTATAATGGCTTTTCTCCGCTTCTAGTTTAGTTTTATTTTATAAAATATCCCCCTTGTCATCAGCATCATGAAAAATGCAGACACACATAGCTAAAGCCAACACACATTCTGATAAGGATCTCCTATGCTGTGATTGTAAAACCTTGTTCTGTCTACCTTTCCAATTGTATTGGTTATTTGTTTAGGGTTCTTCTTGAATTGAAAATAAACCTGCTAATATCATAATGGTATTATACAAATCTATAGTGCGGCCACATTTGGAGTACTGTGTACAGTTCTGGTTGCCTCATCTCAAAAAGGATATTGTAGACTTGGAAAAGGTTCAGAAAAGGGCAACTAAAAAGATTAAGAAGATAGAGTGACTCTTCCTAGGAAATAAAGGTTGCAGCGTTTAGGACTTTTGTTATTACATTATTGTCATTGTGCTGTATCAATAAAGCATACTTTATCAATGTTGCCAATAAAGGTAAAGGTAAAGGGACCCCTGACCATTAGGTCCAGTCATGACCGATTCTGGGGTTGCGGCGCTCATCTCGCTTTATTGGCCGAGGGAGCCAGCGTTTGTCCACAGACAGCTTCCGGGTCATGTGGCCAGCATGACTAAGCTGCTTCTGGTGAACCAGAGCAGCGCACCAGAGTGGTACCTATTTATCTACTTGCACTTTGATGTGGTTTCGAACTGCTAGGTTGGCAGGAGCAGGGACCGAGCAACGGGAGCTCACCCCGTCACGGGGGTTCGAACTGCCGACCTTATGATCGGAAGGTCCTAGGCTCTATGGTTTAACCCACAGCACCACCCACATCCCAATGTTGCCCATTTTTTACATTTTTAAAAATACATTATATAATAACATTACAGAATGGGAGTTGGCATAAACCAATGTTGCCCATAGGCTTATGCCAACTCCCATTCTGTAATGTTATTATATAATGTATAAAAAAATTACTTCCCTGAGGTGGAAGAATACATATGATGAATACATTCAAAATTGGTTTCAACTGCATTCTTTTCCTACTTTTAAAAATCTGTCAGTGGTATTTGTTGTTGCCTAATAAGCTCATATCAAAACAACCACTGTTCAAGGCATTAATTTGTGAATCTACGTCCATCTGTTCCGTTGAAATAATGCTGATGTTATGGTGACATCTTGGTGTTGATGCTGTTCATCTTTTCTTCTTCTTCCAGTAATTACATAAATTGTAGTCCTAGCTTGTTGGCTTTGTTCTTAACCAAATGGCTTGTTTTATTCTGCATGTTCAATTTCATTTTGAGAGAGTTATTATCCAGAGCTCAGTAATTAAGATGCTAATCACTGCACAAATCAGTAATAATGCATTAAATCATTGAGTGAAAAATGGGCAGAATTTTACAACCAGTCATCCCTCATGTACACTTATAAAGAGATGTCTGTTCAACAGGTTGTCACCTTACCTTTTAGGCATTGGACAGTTGACGTATATTCTGACTTGGAATGTTTGACTTAAAATTTGTTCACCTAACATTTTTCTGTTTGAGTCTACTTTTTATTTAGGAAGCAAGATTTAAATCTGGGCAGAGCAATTCTATTGAGGAGCTCAGCAGCACAGAGTGACTAGGGCAGAAAGCAGTCAGTTTTGTTGTAGTTTGTTGTTGTTGCACAGCTGAGGGGTCCAAGAATTGGGTCCCTGGAAGATGCTGCAGGGCTCTAGCTCCAGTGGATACAAAGCCCCTGATACCCCAAGCATCCCATTTGGCGACTTTCTGCTAGCTAGCGCTGGTGCCAGCGGGAGAGCTCCCAGTGGTAACTTCCTACCCTCCAGGGCAAAGCTCAGGACTTCCATTGTGGCAAAGGATGAATCAATTTTGTGAGAGCAAATTGTGATCAGTGGAACTGAGAGTTAAGACTTAGCATGCCTATTTATTCTTTGAAGTTATTTTAGTTGTAATCAGGGCTTTTTTCCAGCCAGGACTCACTAGAACTCAGCTCAGGTGGGAGCCATTGCCATTATAAGAGAACAAGGAAGATGTGCATGGTGAGTTCTGGCATCTAGAAAAATAGCACTGGCGTGTGAAATGATGGTGGTTTTTCTATCTATAGCTTTGTTTAGTTGTAAGTTATTTTACACTTCTATGCAGTGGTACCTCGGGTTACAAACGCTTCAGGTTACAAACACTTCAGGTTACAGACTCTGCTAACCCGGAAGTAGTACCTTGGGTTAAGAACTTTACCTCAGGATAAGAACAGAAATTGCGAGCCAGTGGCACAGCAGCAGCGGAAGGCCCCATTAGCTAAAGTGGTACCTCAGGTTAAAAACAGTTTCAGGTTAAGGACAGACTTCCAGAACAAATTAAGTATGTAACCAGAGGTACCACTGTATCTTAAATAGGCATCTGTATTTCCTGGTTTGAATATATATGTGTGTGTTTCCTATTTTCTGGGACTAATAAATATAACAACAACAATAATCTATATGAGATTTGGTAACATGTAAAATTAATCATTGATTAATTCATCAGTGCATAAACCCATTAGAAACCAACAGGATATTTCAGCACCTTGCCCTTGGTTACCATTTAACAGATCTCTCTCTCTAGTACTACTGGTAATAAAAAAGAAGATTTTCGAATGGCTTTTTAAATGTTCAGCTATTAAATTAAAAGAGGGGAAATGATGCAAGTGCGTTGGGAAGCAGATGTCTCTGTGTTGTAAACTGGTATATCCATTACGCCAAGACAGAAACAGCTGTGAGATGACTTGCATAAATTGAGTGTGAATTAGCTGGATAAAACCTCTCTCATCCAGCAAGGCGCTTTAACTCTTTCTTGCTTACAATTTTCACCTACATACTGAGCTTAATGGACAAGGCTGGGAGGGGAGCTCTGCTGAGTTTATTGGAAAAGTGGAGAAAATGTGAATTAATGAATAAGCAGACTAATGAGGTAGATTCCAATCCACTGTTGTTGTTGTTGTTGTTGTTGTTGTTGTTGTTGTATGTATATCCATCTATATTGTTATAGATTTGGGAAGGACCCCCCCTAAACCCTATAAATTAATAAATGATAGGATTTTGATGATTTGGGGTGTGAAGGAAGAAATACAAACTGCAGAGGAATTCCTGGACTAGCCTAATGTAAAATGGACAGATGATATGGAAGATGATATCATCAATCCTGTTGTGAAGTCCCTTCTCTGCTACACCACTGCTGATCAGTTGATAAGAAGGCATTCTTTGTTAATAATAATAATAATAAATTTGTTATTTATACCCTGCCCATCTGGCTGGGTTTTCCCCAACCACACTGGGAGGCTTGCAGCAAAATATAAAAACAATCCATGTTTGTTCATTTCATATTTACCTTCTCGTCTGCAGAAAAATAATACACCCAACTCACATAGGAGGTAAAACCAGTAGCCTGTGTTCATGTGTTCTCCTCAAATATATCTTCTCCAAGGACTGTACAGCACACTCACCAACTTATCACTTTCTCTTGGGTTAAAGTGATGAATTCCTTCTTCCCCCAAACACTCAGAAGTTAGTAATTCTGTTTCTGATCACAGAAGACGGCTCCAATT